GTAGAAAGATATAAGTAAATCTAAACAATGTATGTATAAAAAATATATCTAAAAAAAAAATCCAATATTCAACAACAAAGAATACTTTAAGCACGTTGTGCAAAACGGCAATAAAAAAAATAAAAATCCTATCAGATTTATAGTCCCCTTAGTGCAGATATATTAGAATCTGTCCTTAAATTGCAGCCAAACCCCTTTACACAGTAACAGATAAAAACCATTAAATAAATCAAACATTACCGCCACATATCTAAGTCAATATCCTTTAAAACAACTATTTTCATTTATTTCAGACGGAACTATTCACAGACTTGTATAATATTAAACTGAACTTCCAATATTCACCACTGTTTGGCACCAAGTAACCTTTTCCCTAATTACTGAGCAGCCGGTTTGCTTGGTCTTGCAATGGATCCTGGGTAAACCAAGGATAGTGAGGACCCGTCCTTCAAATTGAACAAAAAGACGGACGCATTTTAAGGCCGCATAACGAGGAGTCTTGGAATCCGACCAGACCTCGGCGCCGCTCTATGATGTAGTCGTCTTTCGAATCTGGCCTTCTGAAGACGCGTCCCATGAATTCGAACAGAGCCTTTGTCAGAATTTTGCATTAAAGCAAAGCTAACATGGGAATTAGTTGTTTTTTTTTAAGTTGTCTGTGGGGAATATGCTTAGCTGTAGTATTTATTGGTTGGAATATGGTTAATTCTATTTTTAAAACTTTAAAGGACTTTAAAGGAAATGTCTAATAGGGATAATCTAATGAAAGTGAAAACAACAGTAACCAATTGGAGCTACAGGTTGTTTGCCTGTAAGAAGGTCACAGCAGAACCTCTTCGGTCTTTTGTCATCTTTACATTGTGTGCTAATGTTCAGCCTTGAAAGACATTGCTTTGCTTGACTACTTGCAAACAAACGAGGTAATAAACTGCATCCAAGGCATTCATATGCTGGAATAGGCTAAAAATACTGATAAATAACCTGATTGCATACTTGATAAAAACGTGTTATAGATTTTCATCTTCCCTGCTATATTCACTCACACCTTTGCAACTGCAAAAGGTATCAGACACAATCTCAGCGACAACCAACCTGACTGTGTCCCTCATTCTTTCTGTCTGTGGAAAGCTTAAACAATCCTTTATCTGTTGCTACTTTGAAATGACTTTACTGAATTTATGCAGAAAACAACTCAATTAGTGATCTGACAAAATGTCTCAGTGCTTCACTGCTAATATAAAACTAGCCTCCATCTGTCCGAGCTTTGTTCACACTGGGTTGCATTTTCTTGTAGACATAGTAATCACTTGATGCACTGCGTCAAATTTAACAGAGCTTCAGCTACTTTTTAAAGGAAATTTTTTATTCTAGATTTTTTTAAACCAGTGCAGAAATAATACTAAAGACCTGCAGATAAAGCTGCACGGAAACGTAGTTCTACAAAGTATTTACTTAGTAGGGCTGCTTAACTGAATACACGTCAAACTTTTTAGATACTTATTAATGTTTTTCCTAATCTGATAAAATCCATTTAAAATAAATTGGAATCAGAGCTGCAGGACATCATGCAGCTCATTTCTAACTGAAAAACTAAAAAGAACAAATTAAGTTTTAGAGTTAATGTGCTTTGTGCCCTTTTTTCATTCCTGTGTTCAGGACCAGTTAGAGCAACACTTGCAGCACAACGTGAAGCCCAACATCTATCTGTACTACGGTTCCGAGCGCAACAGGAGCGAGTCATTTCTGTCCTCTCAGGATGTGGTGATCACCACCTACAATGTCCTCTCTAGCGAGTTTGGAGTGAGTTGGCATTAATGGTTGTTAAAGATCAAAAATGAATCTGCAGACGTGAGCTTTAGGGTTCACATGTTAGGTTTTGATTGGTTAACAAACATTAAATGCTGTTGGGTTATTCTTTCAGAATAAGAGTCCTTTGCATGGGGTCGACTGGCTGAGGGTGGTTCTGGATGAAGGACACATCATCAGAAACCCAAACGCACAGATGAGCAAGGCTGTGCTGGAACTGAAAGCTCAGAGACGCTGGATACTTTCAGGTAAAGTCACCTCACTGATATAGGCAAATAAGTCAGCAATGATGTTAAGTTAGCTAAAATTGGCAGCTTTGCAGCAGACCTACTTTTCTAGCAGAATATATTTTCTTTAGAGAATACCCTCAGACTCTGGAATATAACTTTGATTTATAGCTGGATTGATGCATCCATCGCTGCCTTTTCTTCAGGTACTCCGGTCCAGAACAGTGTGAAGGACCTGTGGATGCTGCTCGCCTTCCTGCGGCTGAAGCCCTTCGATGTGAGGGAGTGGTGGAACAGAGTAATCCAGAGACCGGTCACACTGGGAGATAGGGTCGGCCTGCAGTGAGTGCCCTTTAAAGCACATCTATGTACTTTTGCCATAAATACTCTAGAGGAAGCAACTCAGGTTTACAGTTCCTACAGTTTTAAAAAATGTGATTTGGTTCAAGTAATTTCTAACTCTTCTAGCTTTTCTAGCTTTTTATCTCTCTCTCATCCTGAGTGTGAAACTTTGACGTGGAAAATGTGAAGATACATAAGGTATGAAGGTTGGCTCTTTGCTATTGTGGTTGTGTTACAGAAACCTTCAGAATCTGGTGAAGTGCATCACGCTGAGACGGACCAAAAACAGCAAGGTGAACGGGCAGCACCTGGTGTCGCTGCCTAAGAAGACTGTTTACGTGGAGCAGGTGGAGCTCAGCCAGCAGGAGAGGGAGGAGTACGAGCTGGCTCCCAAAGAGGGACGCCGCACAATCGGCAGGTATTGTGTTGGATGCGTGCTTTATTCTATTAAAAATCCCTCTTTGTTTCCTTATCTGCATGTTTTCTATCTGTAGATATGTAGACGAAGGGTCTGTGTTGAAGAATTATGCTGACGTCCTCGCCATCTTGACGAGGCTCAGACAATACTGCTGCCATCCTGATCTGCTTGGGAAAATATCCGCAGAATTCGGTAAACTCTCATTTAGCTCAATGAGATCGGGAGGTTGTAAAGGTGCTGAAAACACTCTGATCAGGTTTCCTCCGCATTCAGCCGCCGCGGACAATCCAGCAGATCTGCGGCAGCGGCTGATAGAAAGACTGCGGCTGGTGTTAGCCAGTGGCTCTGACGAGGAGTGCTCTGTGTGTCTGGACTCCCTCCGTCTACCCGTCATCACTCACTGCGCCCACGTTTACTGCCGGCCCTGCATCGCTCAGGTCATCAGCGGTGAGCAGGTGGGATTTCTTATCTCTCCCGACAAATATTACATAATTGTCACACATAAATCTGCAGTTTACTCACTTTGTCTTAATTCCGGCGCGCTGTGACTTTTATAACAGAAGGCCCGGTGTCCTCTCTGTCGAAGTGATATTAAGGCCAGTGAGCTGGTGGAGTTTCCGCCAGAGAAAACAGAAGATGAGACGAGTATGAACTCTGACAGCTGGAGGACAAGTTCAAAGGTACAAACAGCAACAACCCAAGGCTTACATTTCTGCTGGAAGAGGAAAAGTGTAAAAAAAAAAAAATCCTCTTTGGATTTTTCCTGCCATCTATAAATTTTAATTTTCTTTGTCTTTTTTGTATTCCTACTTTTAATTCCAAGGCTTCTTCTTAACCTGGTGATAAATATATTTTGTATTTCAACCTTAAAAATCACAACTTCGTTTTTCCTGCTTATATGTTGCAACACCTTAATGAATAAACATTTGTTAGAATAACTGTATTTACCTTTAAAGGTCCCATAAGTGATGAATGTGTTAAATCAAGTATTCAGGGGTTGACGTTAAGGATTTTTACCACTTGCCCTTTGGGCAAGTGACTTACACATATAATTTGCCCAGAAACAATTTTTACTTGCCCAGTATAATGTTTGATAAATATAGTTCCTAATATTAATTTTTGTATATATATCAATGAAACATGTTTGTTTT